CCTGAGGGGAAGGCCTGGGCGGTGGGCTGAGGGGAAAACCCGGCTGGTGTGAGGATGGAGGGTCGGTGGGTAGGCCGGGGGCTGCGTGGCAGTAGGGAGAAGAGCCGACAGCCGTGTTTTTGAGGTGCTGTCCCCTCTACCCCTTGGCTGAGCGGGCACTTTGTCCTTCCCCCCCTCCATGGCTGCTCCCTGAGCTCAGCTGACTCAGTTTCCCGGTCAGCCCGGCCGTGTGATTGCAGCAGCTGATACGGTGGTTTAAGGAAGCTTGAGCTCCCAGTGCTTTCTTGAAATGTCTGTGCAGCCGTGCTGCGTGTCCTGCGGTTGCTGGGAGCCTGGTGGGTTTGTCAGGCTTTGCTGGCGAGTCTTGTTTTGTGCCTAGGTGGCAGGTAGGGCAGGAGGCCTTTTTAAGGCTAGAAATAAGTCTACTGGGGTAATGTAACTTGACTCCTGATACCCGTGATCGTTTTTTGAGGAGACCAGGTCAGGTAGGAAATGACTTGCTGGTATTGAAGGATTGCTAGTGGAAAAATTCTGCTGTAAATCTAAGTAAATTCCATGGTGATTTATCCTTCACCTGAGAATAAACCTGAGTAATCCTGAGTTATCTTTCAAGGCTATTCTGACTTCCAGACATTGTCTCTTTTCTAGATCATAGTATACAAACCTGGAGAACTCTGGAGGTTTTGCTGTGTGATACTTGTTACCTGTGGGCAACTTGTTATCTTAATTAGTCAGTGCTAAACTGTTCCTCTATATCTGTGACGAGTTCTCACTCATTGGTGTCTAGCACCTGGATCACAAGTCATGAAGATCAAGACCAGTCAATGGGACTATAATAATTAAGTTGTTCTTTCTTCTAAAAATACTAATTTAAGCCTGAGCTTTATCTTGATGATCACTGCTGAGTGACTGAAATCAATATTGACTATCTAGAGGGATCCTTGGCAGGGTGAACCCTGGATGCACCCTGCATCCAGGAACCTTAACCCTGGAACGTTAAACAACAGAATGGGAACAGAGTGCTGTGATGTGCCTCAGTCCCTGCCTAAAAACCACCCAGGATGTTTTTACTTAGGACAGAAGCCCCTCTTCAGCCAGCAGACTTTTTTGCACCTCTTTGCTTGCCTCTGTCATTCATGCTATGGATCCCAGGGCATGAAGGAGGGCGGTGGGAAGTATTCCTGCTCTTTTGCTTGTCCGAAGTCTCAGTATGCCCTAAACTATCGCTTTACTGCCTTCCCTGCAGGTAACTTCCTCATTTACAGTATTTCTATATTTTTAGCTTCTCTTTTTTTCTCTTCTCTTTGCCTTCTGAACCAAGTTGCGCAAACTTAGCTTTGCCTTGGAGCAGCATTTTCTGCATTTGGAATGAGTCAGTTTGGACTTCCCATGTGTTTGTCTTGGTATTGTTACTGTCCCGTCCCCAACAGCGCGCTGGTGGCGGCTGCTGCTGCGGTGCGGCTTGTCAGGCTTCATTCAGAGCTTGAAGGCTGTTCCAAGTTCACCGCCAATCTCACTCCTTCTCCGCTCAGCTTTTTGTGCCTCTGTCTACTGTGCTCTTGCAGAAGGGTTTTCCGTAAAAGGAGTGTTGCTCTTGATCCCTTATATAGGTCTGTGGTCAGACCGTTTCTTTCCTCTGTCTCTTCAGTTCTGAGTTTCCCATTTTAGTACCTGTTGTCTGTGCTGCACAGACTTTTAACACATGTTCTTTCTCTCCCAGGTACCTGTCTGCATGAAATCCAGGCAGTGGGTAGCTTCTTAGCAGCCAAAATCAGTACTTAGGCATAAATATACCTACATTCTTCCCTACAGTTTCTGTTCTGTCTTTGCTGTTGCCTCTTGCATGTGAGTCTGGCTCTGCAGTTAGTCCCAGTCCTGGGGCAAATGATCACCTTGGTCATGGAGAAATTCCAAAGGACTAAGGCTGTTCTGGGGCTGCCCCTGGGAATCGGGTATCTAGCTGGTCACTGGTATTGACACTGTGCTTCCAAGTCTGAAATGTTGCTCCCTCTTGTCTGCTTGGATCACTCTGGAAGCACAAAGGAATTGAATTCTCTGCTTCAGGACTCGGGCTGGCAGCTTAGTGCTGCCAGAAGGAGGAGATCCTGCTTTTCTGAGTGATCCTCTCTCGTCTCTGCCTGTCTGGTCACAAAGTAAGCCGAATTGAGCTCTTGCTTCTTGATGAGTGAGAGAGAGTAGGTTCTCTCTGATCCGGCAGGCTCCTGACCTGGCTTTAAGAAGTGGCAGGAAAAACATGTCCAGGATTGAGGGGAGAGCTGTTTTGGCTCAGATTCTCTCCTGAAACCCTTGTCAATAATACGTTTAGTCCTTTCTTTGATCGCCACAAGTCCTGGTGCTTTGGTTGTTTCTCAGCCAGAGCTCCCTGTGTGCTGTACACCTGTGCTGGGTATTGCTTGGAACCTGCCTGGCCCTCTCTGTTGTGGCCAGTTCCTGTCTTTGACACAAGGTGTCAGTGAAGGACTTGGAGCCGCTTTCCTCAGCTTCAGCAGTGTGAGCATGGATCTGTTCCAGGTAGTGCAATCTGTCTTGGATAACCAAACTTATGAATCGCCCAGAATTCTACTGTCAAAAGGGTGGTGAGATGTCTCCAGCTCCTAAAAGCCATGGTAGCCTGTTAGAAGTCTGGTGTCATCTCTGGAGAATAAAAAGCTGCTGGTGCAGCTGGACTGCAGTGCTGCTTTTAAGCAGCAGGGTTCAGTCTGGGACCAGAGTGTAGGTTATCAGCAGACTTTACTGCTGGTCTGCAACCCTCCGTGCTGCAAAAAATACATGGCTCCTGGGCAGTGTACAAAAATCTTTAGAAACACAAGTTTTTTTACCTTCAAGTCAGTGTTCATGAGTCTCCTTTTCCTAATGTTCCTCTTGCTTCCACAGGAACAGTGTAGGAAACCGGTTTCTGTCTAACCTGCCGGTGCGATAAAGGTGACCAGCATGGTGACATCCAGCAGCGGGACGTGTTGCCTTCTGGCTGGGTAATGAAGCTGTGCAGTGGCCAGCTGAGAAGCATCACGTAGTCAGCTCAGGCTTGTTAGTGTGAGCCTCCATTGGGAGAGGCTTTCCAGAGGCTGCCTGTTTCCATCCCCATCACCTCCTGTGGGTGCTTATGCTTCTGTCCTTGCAGTCGGCTCAGCTGGGGACTTGCACAATTCTGGAGGCAGTGATGTGCATGTGGAGGGATGGGATCTGTCCTGTCTTCAGCTTAAGCTGTGTGTGGCCCTAGTCTCATGCCCCTGCAGGGGCCTGTCATGTTTTATTTGGGCACCTCAGCCTGCAGTTTATCAGTCTGCTGTGGCCTTGTCCCATGAAAAACTCCTGGGTTTTCAGTCCTCACTGCCCCAAGGTAGTGGTGTTGTGTCACATCAGCTTGGGGAAGAGCAGACTAACCATTTGAGCCCCAAAAACATATCTGGGAGGTGAAGGGTGGCTAAGAGAAGCAAATATATGTGATTCTTTTAGAAATAAGGGGTTTTGAAGACCATGATTCTCTCATCTCCTTGGTTTGGTCCATGGGCCTCCATTGCTAGGGTGCATGTGAATCCACAGTGAAACTGGGGAGCTTGAAGCAGGTAGGTCACCCTTATCCTAGAGTGTCTGGCTCCACGCCAGCTGGAAGGTCAGTGCTCTGCCTGAACGGTACCCTCACACATGCCAGAGCCTGGTTTTCTGTGAAACAAACCTGTAGCAATACACAGCGAGCATCAAACTCTTGATACAGGGCTGGATGGTGTGGAGTAAAGCATGACTGGGCAGGTTGGTTGGTTGGTTCTGAGTCTTGAAGAGTATTTCCAGGGTCGCTCTGCGTAGCCCTTGCTCCCTAGAAGGGGAGTGCTGCTTTTGGTCAACTCAGGAGTGGGTTGCTAAAGGCTTGCTGTCTTAAATGCCTGTTCAGTGTCAAGACATCCTTTTCTCTCCCACTTTCTCCTCTTTCCCCATGCAGGGGAGAGGTGCTGAAATACACTGAAGTGCCCTGAGCAGTTGAGTCACCGTGGGGTGAAGTGTGTCTGTCTGGTCGTCCCGTGGTCAGACAACGGGTAGATGCGCCAAAGGAAGAGCCTGCCTGAGCTGTGGGCTCTTGCCTTCAACAAACGGATGTTGGGAGCGTGTCCTCTGTGCACCAGACTTCTGCCAAGTGCAGCGTGTACTTTTGTTTTCATAGTCTCGAGGACCTTCTTTTCTCGCCTGGAGGCTGCCTTTGGTCCGTGGTGTTAACGTACGGAGTGTTCGCTGTACCTTCTTTTGCTGAGAGGAGAGCAGGAGGGGAGGTGCTACTTTTCTCTCTTCCATTTTATTACTGTGGTCTGGGAATTTGGGCCCCAAAAGGCTGGAGCTGGGCTTCTCATTCAGCTTAACCGCATGGGCAGTGTGTTCTCTCTCATGCAGAGAAGTTGCATTGCTACCAGAGTTGCAGACCGCCTCCAAGAGTGGAGCTCACGGTGTTCCCCTGGGTGCGGGGGCAGTGGGATAGATCCTTTCCTATGCAGCTCCTCTGCTGTACAGCCAAGCAAGGAGAGGCCACGTGATGGTCCTGAAGGGTGTCTGTGCTTAGATCCATCTTGAACTCCATGGTTCAGTCCCTGAACTGGGTGTAGAAGCCAGGCCATAATGTGGTGGGGACCTTTCAGAGGCATGGCAACGGTGCTCTCTATCCTGAGATCTAGGAGCCCTTTGTGAAAGGCTGCCCTTGCTTGCTGGGACCGTGTGGGAGGGCTGATCCTGTCCCCAAGAGCTATCATCTGCCAGATGAGGCAGAGCATATGGGAACGGGGAGACCTGGGGATGGTATAGCCCATTCCTGTCCTGGGAATGCTGGCTGCTCGTGCAGCAACACAGCAGTAGCCAGAAGGCTGTCCTGCTAATCTCAGGGCTTTGTCCTGCATCGTCCAGTGTAACCACTCGCCGTGGCTGGTTCATCAGCTGTCCTGGTAAAACGAGCTCAAGGAAAACATGATTTATTGGAAGAAAGATGGCACTTCCACAGCCTGCTAAAGCATGGTGGCAAACAAACACTGTGGTCTCTGGCTTCCTGCAGGGGTCAGCAGAGGCTCTTTGCTGTTTGTTCTGGCCTCCTTTACTGGGCAGAGACCTCCTTCATAGCTTCTCCTAGCTGAACTTCAAGCAGCAGCTGAGGTCAGCTTCTCTGCGCTGGTGCAGCTTCAGCCCTTGTTTGGGTCCTGCCCCTCCTTAGAAGATGATGGTGTCTGGCTTTCCTGGCAAGTATTACCGCTCGGCAGTCTGTCGGTGCTTTCGTCTTGTTGTTTTTCCTCTGCTGTCAGCTCCTGCAGCGTGAGGCTGCTTTCTGCCCCGTTTCCCTCAGCTTCTGAATGATTTGTTGCCTCTCCCTTAAACCGCTGTGCTAGGGCCGATGTCATCGGTGTGTTGAGACCTCCGAGGTTACAGCCGTGACTTAGCGCAGTCTGCTGTTAAGGGTGGGAAAAAGGGGTACGTAGGGGAGAAGCTTCCTGGAGATGCAGGCAGACTAGTAAGGGTTACCTCGCCTTTTGGGTGGATGAGGAGAGGGCTACTGGCTGAGTGGCTCCGAAGGAAACAAGCCATGCTCGGTTGGAAGCTCTGAGCAGGGGTGAGTTCAACCCCAGGGAGGGCTGGGCTAGAAACACAGGCGGCTGTTTGGTGCCGAGGGCATCTCAAACACAAAAGGTGAAGAGCGAGAGGTGAGATGCCGGTGAGGAAAAGGGCCAACGACAACACTTGTGTGTCCAGCTGTGGCCCAGAGGAATTTGCTGCTGACAGCAGAGGAAAAGTGGCACGTCGCTGCTGGTGGTGTGCAACCACAGAAAAAGTCTTAAATTCTGCGGGGAATGAAGTGCCTCTGGGTAAATCTCGGGTGAGATTTCGGAGAAGCAGCCTCGGGAGAGGCTGAGGTGGCTATAAACAGACCGAACCGACATCAACAAGCTGAATGGTAATGACTGCAGGCTTGTGAAGGGGGACGTGGGCGATGCAGCTCATCTGCAAACTGCTGCGTAATCCCTCGGCTGCTTTACTGCCTCGGGCCTGGGAGATGCCGAACAGAATTTTAATTTTTGTGGGCAGCAATGGCCCCGGGTGCTTTGGCGTGAGATAGCGGGGTTACAGCAGATAACTGTGTGAGAACATGAGTTCAGCTCGGAAGCTGCGCAAGCTAATTCCATGCCTGTGCACGAGAAGGCAGGTCAGTCCGTGCTTGGAACTGCTTGAGCCCTTGATTCAGAGCTCTGCAATGCAGTTATGGGAAGATGCTGAAGAAGGAAGGGGTGGAATTAGGAGCTGGTGGGGCTGTGGGTCACTGAGTTGGGCTTACAGGACAGGCTCTGACAGATGTCTGAAAGGCTGAGTGATGACTTGATTCCTCGTTATGACGAAGCAGACTTGCTGTGGTCAGTAGCATTACTGTGGATCTGAAGACCCTCAAGAAAATGTCACTGAAAGGTCAAGATGTGGTGTCAGCACAGCGATGCGGTGAACTAAGCTTCGGTTGTGTTTCTGCCTCCAGCTGCATCAAAACCAGAGGGCCTGATCCCAGAGGTGAGAGGAGGGGGCTGTAAGTGTATGTCACGGTACTCTCCAGCGCTGCCCGACTTGAATACTCAGCAGAAAAAGGCTGTCACTCTGACGAGCTGTTGTGTTCCTGCACGAGGCAGCTTTCTGGGAACGGTGACCTGGCCATAATTGACTAGCTTTTGCGGGGGAGGAGGGAGAACAAAAATGTTGTGGTAATTCAAATGCTCCCTTGCCAAATGCTGGCTCAGTCCGTTTCTTCAAGTGCGTGAACCGCTTGGAAAAACGCCGGAACGGGCAAATGTACCTCTTGGAAGCAGTCACTGGGTTGGGGGTGCGTGCTGCTGTTAGTCAGCATCTGGAGGAGCTCGTGGGGAGGGGCTGGGCTGTAGGTGCAGGTCTCTCTGCCGCTCAGGCAGCTGGGGAAGAGCGCGGCAAAAGACTGGCAGCCAGTGTCCCGTCGTCATGCAGCGTGTGGGATCTCTGGCAGCCGCCCCTGCTGAGGTGCTGCTGTTGCTGCCAGAGGCCAACTCCGTCTCGGCCTGAACTTGCGTTAGGAAATAGGAACTTGAGCTTTTGGAGAGCTTGGGGCTTGCTCAGCAGTGGGTCCACTTATTAGTCACCGTGCTACTAGGACAGCTCTTCTGGCAGGGGATTTGGGAAACCACGGGATTAGTCCCTTCCTGACAGAAAAGCCTGACATGGGAATAGTCCTACCAAAAACTCCCAAACCACCTTGGCCGGGGCTTGGTGACCAGCTGGAGGAGGACAGGCTCATGTACGGCACTGGTACACCACGGGATGCCTCAAGCTGGGGTTTATAAATCCAGTCCGATTTTTGGAAGATGTGTTCTGTCTGCTTGGATGCTAAGAGATTCAGAAGAGTTTTGTTCCTGCAGCTTGTGGCTGGCCTTCCCCATAAAAATTAATTCCAAGTGTTATATAAACACTGCCCTTATTCCAGTTGCAACATAATGTTGTGCTGGCTCTTGTGCTGTGGAGTTGGAGGGGCAACCCCATCATCGTGCAGGACAAAATGCTCTGGCCAAAGCAGCTCACGGGAACTTGCTGAGAGCGGTCGAGGGAGAGGCTGCAAGGCGCAGCCTGGGTGGCTCTGGTGTAAAGATGATGCAGCTCCAACCTCCCAGAAGGGAATGGGACAGCAAAGTTGACTTTTTGTGTCGCTGGGTCTCTAGCGTCAAGCGATCCCATGGCAAGGTGGCGTCTTGCAGCCGCAAAAGTGCGAGCAGAGTTGCAGGCCATCATGACACCGAAAGGAACCGCTGGTTTTGCTGTAGCAGAGTTGGAGTTGAGGGAACAAGCTGAAAGCTTTGGACGCTTCCCTGCTGAAGGAAGACATGGTAGGATATGTGATTGCTGCTTCCTCTCCGAGGTCCAGTATAGCTGCAGAATAACATCACGTGCCTTTTTGGGCAGGCTTACTTTTCATCAGAGCTCTGCACAATTAGAGAGAACTGGAAGTAGGAGCGATGTGAACATAACTACTGCAGTCCCTGTGCCTTCCCTTGCAGCCTAGCTTTGTGGGTGCAGTACTCTTACCGGGACCCTCTCTCACATTCATTGAGCAACTGCTGAATTTTGCTCCACTCTTCCCGTAGCTTCCGCTAAAAGCAGACAGTAGAGTCCTGATCTGACAGTGGAGCTTAATTTCTACTTGGACTCATCATCCAAGAGCTTTTAAAAGAGGGACTGAAACTCATAAAGATGTAATTCCATTCGACTTCACCTCTGTAACTGTTTAGCTTTCAAAACTTTTTAGCTTTCAAAAATCAAGCAAGAGCAAAAACAGGTGAGAACTCGCTGCATGCAGGGCGCTGCCTGTGAGCGGGCTTTCTGCGGGGTTTAGGGAGTGATGCCGTCAGCAATCCTATGCAGGCTGCGTGGAGGTGGGGGCCATTCTGGGTCTCAGCATGATCCAGTGTTTGACAAGAGTCACGTTGAAAACTCCACTGTCTTGACTTAACTGGACCGTGTCTTCCCACCTCAAAAGTGTGAGTTGATAACGTTTTGGTAGAATAACACATGTCTGTTTTGCTGCGGCGTAGTCTCAGGAGCAGATGTGTAGGCTGACTTTCGTCTTTGCTTCAGCCATGATGGGTCTTGTTGGGAGAGCTCCTGCATCTAGTTGGCTTGAAAGCCCTTCCACCCCTCGGGCTGAGGACAGCGTTGCGCTGTGCAGCACATGCTTGGTTTGGAGCCCGATGCGGAGGATGCTCTCCAGCTCGTGCCTGTAGCTGGGTGTGTAGTGTCAAAAGATCAAACTCCTCCATCCAGGCTGAGCCCTTGCTCTGACCTCAGTGCCATGGGTGCTCGTGCCATAATACTGGGGCCTCGTACGGAAGAGAAAGGCCGCTTCAGTGCTCCCGCTGCAGAGAAACCAGGGAGAAATGTCTTTTTGTTTTCTCTGGACGGTGTGTTCACATCTGGTTTGACTAAACTCTTCCAGCTACTTTCCTTTCCCCATAAAGGTCTTGAATCCCTAGGAGGGTGCTTGCCTAACTGGCCCTCTGAGGTGAAGCCAAAGGGAGATGAACATTATGTACCAGTGCAGCGAGTAGAGCTTTGAGGAGTAGGATTATATGACGTTCCTCAGTTCTGGATTCAGTTTTTCCATAGAGACACTTAAATGCTTTTGGCGCAGGCAGGGCTTTTATCTTGACAGAGCTCAGCGTGTTGTGGTTGCTTGTTGGCCAGGTCTATAGCTTGATTGGGCACCTGACCTGCAGGGAGGGAAACAAAGGTTTCCTCTGCTTGAAACTGGAGGAAGGGCAGGCTTCTGAGCATGTTCCTCCATCCTGGGCAGGGGTTGGCTTCTGTAAGAGATGGATTTAAGTGGCTTTCCTCTTCACCAGCCCCTCTCTGCCTCTTCAATCCCTGACTTCTGTTTACCAGTGCAATTAGTTGGATCGGCTTGATGGAATACCTAGTTGCTTTCTAATTTCAAGGTTTCTCTTTGTTTCTTTTGGGCTTTGAAAGCTTTTGAGATGCCTTCACATCGGTAGTATCTGCGGAAACTTGCTGGTGGGTGCAGGTAGGTTCTTGGTGGTGGTTGCTTCAGAGAAACCTGCAACCAGAGCCCTTTGGCTAGAGGAAAGGCGTATGTGGTTTCTTTTTTTTTTTTCCCCTAGATTTCTAGCAAATCCTTCCTAGAAAATCAGTAGCCTTCCACCTTGATCAAGCACAGCAGACAGCTGGCACAGGCGTGTGATCAGCTACATAGATGGTGTCATGGTTTCCCCTTGAAGACAGGGCAAGGCTGGTATGGGGAAAGACTTGGGGTTTTTTCCTGCATTTGGATTGTCCATGGTGAAACTGAACGCAAATATAAGCAGGTGACTTAACACGTGGGTTTTTGACTAGATGATCTTTTTGAGAATATAATACCTAGAGAAGTGCTGAGCAGCAGCTCGCTTGGATATGCTCAGAAAAAGAAAAAAACCAAACCCAACACAAACGCTGTAGAGTGGAATGAATCCTTCTTTTTCAGACTTGAAACTGCACCTCCAGAGCACAGACTATGGGAACTTCCTGGCCAACGAAGCCTCCCCGCTCACCGTCTCCGTCATAGACGACAAGCTGAAGGAGAAGATGGTGGTGGAGTTCCGTCACATGAGGAACCACGCATATGAGCCCCTAGCAAGTTTTCTGGACTTCATCACGTGAGTACCAGCTGTTCGTGAACAGGCTTCGAAACGCTGGTGTTCGCCCAGACCTGAGGGCTCTTGGACCGGCTTCTCACACTCGGCCTTGTAGCTGCTGTGTTTCTGCAGCTTCTTGAAACCTTTCTGGTTGTATCTGGAGGCCTCAAACCAGCTGCACGGCATCACTACGTTCTTTAAGGCTCCCACTCCCCCTGTGTGCTTCATGGCACACCTCAGCAGCCTTCCGCTGCAGAATTGGTTCAGTCTCTATTAGAGCTGTCATTTACCCTTGTGTTAAATGTTCCTGGGTGTTTTAAAATGTGATCCTGCTGCAAAGCAGACGCATGACAGCAGTTGCCTGTTAGGTCTGACCCACTGAGGTGAATCAGCCTTCATCAGGGCTGCTGTGATCCTGCCATCCCACCCCAGGGGCTGCAGGCCTCCCTCTGACCCCGTCACAAACTGGTTCAGGGAGTTGAGCTGGCCAAAAATTGAACAACATTTCCCTTTTTGGGGTTAATCTTTGATTTGTTTTTCTAAGCCAGCTCAGTGGGATCCAGCAGTGCTAGGGGAAGGGAGGGCCTGGAATATGCAGCAAAGACAGGGCTGCAGCAGCCTCAGCTTGTCTCTGTCAGTGCATGGAGAGACACGGAGCGTGTGCGCTTCCAGAGCAGGTTCAGCTGATGAGAAAAGCTTGAAATAGCACAACGTTCTCACAGCTATCTCCTCTTAGCAGTTTTGCACAACCCTCTGCTTCCCTGTGTGCTGCTCTTGTTTTAATTGGTAATAAAATGAAATTGATAGCCTCGTGGAGATACCAGTTGTGCTGGTTTGCATCAGAAACGTGGAAGTAAAATTGCCTTTTTTTTTTTCCCTTTCCTTAGTCAATGTGCCTGTAAGCTCTAGTTTGGCTTGAAAACTGCGTAGTCGGTGGCCTCCTCTAACCAGTGAGGAGATACGTCATGGAGTAAAGGGAATTTCTGGTTCAGTAGAACATGAGTAACTTGCATCTCTGCGAAGAACACTGTACTCTGGTCTCGAGGAGGGTAACTGATACATTGGCCTTTGTTTATTTGACACGGTGAGCTTGGGCTTATCGCAGGCACTCTGGCAAGGGGTGTTTAATCTTGCCTTTTTGGCAGCTCTCTGTGTTTTTCTTGCTTGCCACCTAGAGAGTTTTAAATGGTGCAGGCTGATGTGGAAAGGCCTTTGTGGTTGGGTCGAAGATTTTAAGTTTTGGACTATCTGTGGCATCTCCTGCATGTGCAGATATTGATTAAAGACCTGTCTCTTTGCCGTATTCCTTCCTTTTCTGTCCTTTCAGTGCCTGGACAGTAACAATCTCATTTTTCTAATCCAGTGGCTCATATCTGTGTTTTTCTGGGTCACTGTGCTAAAGCTGCCTGTTCTTTAAGCCTTTCCTATTTTATAAGAAGTATTGTTTTCTTATATGCCTGTCACTAAAATTCATGGGGTTTTCATGTTTGGCTTCAGATACAGAGGAAGACGTGCCAAGCCGTCAGTAAGATGTGCCCAAGCCCACATTTTGCAGCAGTGTTCACAATGAATGAAGCAGATTCTAGCTTATCACCTTAGTTGTGTGCAACAATCCCTTCGATTCTCTCAAACTTGACTTTCAAAACACCTCTTTGCTCATTTTAATTTGCTGTAAAGACATGAGTACTGTGCGAGCCTGGCAATAGTAGGTAGCTTGTCCTCTGCTGATGCTTTTCCTGTTCTGACCTACAGGTTTATGGCAATGTCTAGATTCTGAAGAAGTATCATAGTAATTGCTAATGGTCTCTTAGCTTATGTCGTATCTGTTTAAAGGCTGTAGTCTGGGCAGGACACATGAGTATCTTGCAAGCTTTAAAACATTGCAGTTCCCTAACTTTCCCACTTTGAAAACCAGTGCATAGAAAAGACGGACTGAAAGGCCTCAGACCCTGCCTGCCCCGATTACACACTGAGTGACTTGGTAGGAAGGCTGCAAATAGCTGTGGAAGTCCAGTTTCCTGTTACACCAGTCCTGTTGACCTTCTGTCATGTCTACATCCAGCTCAAGTTGTGCAGAAGACCTCAAACGTCTCATGTAATCTGATAGGCTGCTTCTCGCAGCTGTTCGAATGACTAAAACTGGTGGTCTGCCTTCAGCTTGATTTAACTTTGATCTTGTTCTGCTTCTCTCTCTCTGATTTTGATGAGTTCTCTGCAGCAAAACACAATTCTGGGCAGATACCTGTATCTCTTGCCTACTGTGTAATCTCATCTTTAATATATTGGTCCCACTGAGCACAGGATGTTTCTTTCTTGAGTTGTCTTCAGTCTCATCTCTTCTTCTTACCCACACAACTTGTTTTAATGCCACTCTCTGCAGTGCTGCTTAGAGGAAGGCAGAAGATGAAGCAGGAGAAAAGCTGTTTTGCTACATGGAGCGTCTTCCCTCTCTCGTGGAGCCTTTTGTGTGAGGAGTCCAAGTGTTCAGTTGTGTTTTGGCATGGTTCTGCTGCACTGCTGATGGGGGGTGTCTCCTCTGGGCCTGCACTCATCACCCCAACGGAGCATGGATGAAGCTGCCAGCTTCAGCTGGTCCTATGTGGGAGTTGCTGTCAGCGTATTAGAAGCTCTAACAACTTATAATGACCCTACAGGCAAGTTAAAACAGAAGAATGAGGACAGTGAAACACAAGGAGTTTGGAGAGGGTGCTGGTTTTGCCCAGTGAGTCTTAATATCTTCTGTTGATAATCCGAATATATTTAGTAGCTGGGCTAGCAGAAAAGAGGGTAGACTAGGTGGGACTTCTTGGGCTGCCTTTCAGGCTGTGTTTTATTTCCTGAAACTGTCCCGTGGGTTCTTGGAGGTCTTGGTTAGGGACAGGAGTTTCAGGGCTTATTGTCCTACTGACGGTATGAAGCTTCCCCCGCATGTCCCAAATAGTGTGGAGTGGAGAACAGCTCTGTTGGGCGGCTGGCAGTGAGTACTTGTGCCGGAAGCCTCCCTCAAACCCAGGCCTGCTTGTGAGCAGAGGGGTTCGGGCACAGGACGTTGGCAGTGATGGGGATGTTGTGCCTGTGCATGCAGTGGTACTGTGTCATCCTGCCTGCTCTGAGTGACACTGGGACAAGCCTGTGCCACTCTGCCTGCGCACGCAGTTTGGTGTGATGGGGTGATTTATCTTTGCCTCTTGAACGTGGCTATTTCCCACTCCTTTCTGCTAGAGTACTTAATGAAACATTAGCAGGAAATGGTACAGGCAGCTCAGGGTGGTCAGAAGAAGAAATGGTACTAAACTGAATGCGTCCACGTGAAACTTCACAGTCTGAATTGAAATAGAAAGTGGCAGAGAGATGTGGCCAGTGTGAGTGGGGCTGGTTTCTGCAGGAGGAAAGCTGGGACTCTCCTGAGAGAGGCGCAGGGTTGTAAACACAGACTTTAAAATCGAGTGGGGTTGTAAGAGGTAATACCTGGCTTAAAATGGAAGAAAATGTTCTGTAGCATGTCCATCTGAGCTCTGAAACTCACTGCTGCCAGACGCCTTTGTACTTACATTTTGGGCCATAGAAGCACTGGATCGAGGCCTGTTGAACACTTGGGTGCCATCTCGCCATGAGTGGCCAGGATGTAGGTGGCTGGTGCTGGAAGTGGATCAGGAGTTTAAAAGTTGTGTTTTGTCCTTCATCAGTGTCCTGCTGGACCTCTGGAGTGGTTTTGAGTTGTTCCACAGGTAACTTGCACTATCCAGAGTTGTTCTTCCTCGGAGGCTGCTCAGACCTTGACCCGGGGCATGTTGTGGAGAAGGTCTGGGGAACTGTCTGATCTGAGGGGTGGCTGTAGTCCTTGTCCCCTCCAGAGCCCACCTCCCAAAAGCTGTGCCCTTCGTCCCTGCGTGAGGTTATGCTGTGTCACTTTTCTTGCCTCTTCGAAGTGACCCATGAACGAGGGAAGGAGAAGCAGCAGCGGGTACAGCCTGGGGGGACCAGAGGATGCGTCGTCTTGGTGTGCTCTCCTCGCCTGGCTCCAGGATGAGGCAGCGCTGCCTGAGACTTGCCTGAAGGTGGCACTCCAGCCCCATGGCTGCCTGTCCCCAGGGGCACACCGTGCCCGAGACAGATGGTCCCCTATGGAGGTGGGCAGGAGTTAGCTTGTCCCCTGAGCTTAGGGGAAAGGACAGGGTTCAAAAGCAACGTGACAAAACGTTGGAAGAAATTCCAAGCAAATCAGGATGAAATTCTTCACAGAGAGGGTAGTGAGGCACTGGAACAGGTTGCCCAGAGATGTTGTGGATGCCCCATCACTGGATGTCTTCAAGGCCAGGCTGGATGAGGCTTGGAGCAACCTGGTCTAGTGCAAGGTGTCCCTGCCCATGGCAGGGGAGTTGGAACTAGATAATCTTTAAGGTCCCTTCCAACCCAAACCATTCTGTGATTCTATGAAAACTGACCCAAGATCGCAGCTGGGCAGCAACCCCAAAGCAAGGTCTCTGCTCCCTAAATCATTTGCTGCTACTGATTCCTTTTTTTTTTGTCCTGTTGCACTCCTCTCCTGGCACCACGCTGGCTCTTCCCTGGCTCCGATCCTCTCCAGGAACTCTTCTGTGGCAAGTGTTGTGTTGTTAGTACCAAAATATTGAGGAAGTTGGCCGATTTCCCTTTTGTTGGTGGTTTTTTTTTTTTTTGCAAGTGGGGGCTGTAGCTGATGGCCTCCGCCACTGCGTATCATGGCAGGGAAGAGATCAACTTGTCGAGCCTGCCATGGTCTCTATAAAACACCTGCTATCTCTCCGTGTTGCCATGCAGCTCCTGGCTGGAAGGCTGCTGGTGCTGGGCTGTGTTTTTCAGCCATCCGTGGTACGTTCTGACTGATAGGCACAAGTTGAATTGTTAACATCTCTGCTCCAACACAAACAATTGACTGTTTGGCTGAGGGATTGCAGCGATATTCTGTAGGGCAGCAACAAACAGGTATTAAGTGTACTTGAAACAGCAAAACCCACTTCCTGAATTCACCAAGCGCATAT